ATGGCTGGAAAGTTCATTCAAAATTGTGGATTTTAATGCTTTGGGAGTGTGATGAGCTTCATCGTGACCGAACAATCTGCCTAAAGACGTTTTGTCTACGGATAGATTGCCTAAAGACACATTGCCTAACAGACAGTTTTTTAATGGATATTTTGCCTAATAGACAAATTGTCCGTTAGGCAAACTGTCCGTTAGGCAAACAGTTCTTAGGCAAAACGTCTTTAAGTAGATTGTCCGGGTACTGAGCTTCAAAGATGTTTGAATTATGAACAGAACGTAGTGCTAAATATTCAGCATCTTGTCGTGGGGTGTGCATTTAAATAAAAATAGAGCATAATCTATAAAACAAAAGTGGGCGAGATATTATTGAATTTGCAATATATCGGCTTCTATGGATGAACGGAAGTTAGTTTTCAACCCGTTATTATTGTTTCTTCGAAATGCGTTCAGCACTGTAACATTTCGAAGGTATCAATCATCAATATTATTTTTTAAAATGTATTCAGGACGTAATTCATAACATAAGAGTGCCCGTCAAATAAGAAAACATTTTCGAAGTATTCAAGTAAGTCAGCTCATTTTCAAGGAAAGACTAGCTTCCAATTTTTAAGAATTCGATCTTTAGAGACAATCTCTCACTGCGTCGAAAAGTGTCACNGAAGCTAATGAACTGATAAGTGATGATAACATAACGAGAGATTAAGGGTGATGATTGGGAATAGTGTTTGTAAAACATAAGAAATTGTGAGGGTTATGTGGAAGTGTTCTGAATGAGTGCCCATATCGAGTTTGTTCTCACATACCAACAATAGCGGAATGTGGTTTCGTCGATGCGTGCACGACGTCACTCCATGGACTGTGTCCATGCCCTGAACGAGATCTAACGCGAAATGCAAATCGAGTGTCTGGTTCAAGATCATTCGCTGCAACTGCATTACGACCGACGTAAGAGGCACCTTCTGGTTGTTTATCTGATTCTACATTCCATAACTGCAAATCATTCCGATCTGTTAAAGTGAATGTTGTTGTCTTATCACGTTACTGTGTAAAAAGATAATAGCTACAAAGATGAAATTCGTAATTTGCTGAGGTGTGGAGATTAGATGATTCTCGAGAAATGCATGACTGATCTTGTTAGGTGAAGGAATTGCAATTGAGCAGCATTAGCGATATTTAATGTCATTCAATACGTGGTTTGACTGTAACGGGTCAAAAAACTATACCACATATTCATAACCGTCGATAGGTCCGTAACTTTCATCGCAATGTGGCTTTTCCCAAGTGTATTGAATGGTGCTCTCGGAAACAAACCCTGCACGCACATCTTGAGGTATGCCAGCCTCACCCGAACATGCGTCCAAAGATGCCGATCCAACAGCAATCTGTACTTTTATGTAATTTTATGACGAAATTTTATGACGAACAAAATTTTTCTAAACGGGGCGAATGATACGGAGCATTTTGTTTTGCTCCTATTAAACATCGTTAAATATTGGATTGTTAACTAGGCATCATTTTTTTCGACAGAAGGAAGGTGTGCAAAACGCTTGGAAGTTGCTCTGTTCGTATCAAGAACAAACAAAACAAACTTCAGGGGTTTTGGTAATGAGATTCTTTTGTTCATCAACAGCGATAACGCGCAATGAATAGTACGACATATCACCGATTGTGTCGACAGCCATCTGATATTCAAAGGTATCTTCATCAACAGGTACGTCACCATATTTCCTCCATCTAGAAATATTCCGAAATTATCCAAAAGCTATCACTNGATAACATTTTCAAATCCAACATGTTCAGTCAGAAGATCACTAACGAAAACACTAGAATCGCTTTTTGAACCTTCCGATTATGAGTTGGGTAATGACGATTTCATCCTTTCATTACTGGACGCTTAGATGTCAGGTAATTGGCAAATTAATGCTTCAGCTATTTGTGAGCAATTTTTTGCAGCCAGTCGATCAAGCATAGTTTCATTAGGTGTCATTCATAAGTAAAAAATCAAATGATCACTTAATGTCACCGACTCAGTCTCATTAGGAAGACGACACTCAACGATGAAGTTGTCGATGATTTGACTTGTCTCAGGCTTAGTCCACCGTACCAAATAATGATTGGCACTTTCTCTCGTTATAGCTGGCTTATCGTGCCATTCGATCGGTGTCTTGGCGATGGTGTTCGCTGAATGCTTGTAAACATATTTGGGTTCATGATCAACGAACGCCACAACACCAATCAAGTATTCGGTATTGGGACGAAGACCTGCGAATGCATGTGAATTTATTAACGGTGATACTCGAGCACGCTCCACGGAACGGCCCTCGCTGTTTACTTCAACTGCCATCACCTTAAAAAAACGTTATTTTTACCTCCGTGATATATATTGACGTTTCAATGATGCAACAGACATTTCATCTATTAACCCCTTTACACTTATATAACTCTCTCAGTTCTCAGTTTTGCTGATCAACGAATGAGTGCAGAAGTGGCTCTTAATCTCTGTGTTAAATATTTACACAGCACATAATCTCTAAAATCGTTCAATATTCGTCTTCTCCTCAATGCTCAATACCAAAAATAATGTGTCGTTTTTATGCGTTTTGTTTAGTGAAGGTCTTGTTGACGTAACAGTGAAATCACGTAAGTAGGTTCAGAGATGAACGTGAGATTATGAAGCGAATGGTAGATAGCTGTGCAGCATTGTGATCGTTGCCCTCAAAATGATGCAAAAACATGAACAATTGATTCCCACTTCATAAAATTGTAATCGTTCGTCTTCGTAATGTGGCCAATGAATTCGTAGTTGTGTATCCGTACGATAATCAGTTTCAACGTTCGATGATACATCAGGTGCTGAATTAAGNCAATGTGATCATCAAGCTGCACACATATCAGTGCATATTTGAAAGCACAGCAAATGAATTTAACAATATTCATAGGAACAATGAATGCGTAATTGGAATGAAAATTTTTGGGTGTATTTTCGAAATTCAATTGGTTTTGTCGAAATTTTTAGTGTTGCTCAAACAAGCCAATAAGTTAATGAGGAGTTCGGAATTTTAGGAATGTTAATGAAAGATGAGGGATAATACCTCGTCCTTGAGTTGTGGCAACAGTCGTATGTTCGTTCCAGGGACCGAGATTGCGTGAGCGGTCAGCAGCGCGAACACGTACCTGATAGTCGGTTCCTGGTAATAGGTTGGTCACACTCACCGATGGATGTGTTACCGTTTGTCGATGCACATCAAATTTAGTCTCTATTCCAGATAACTGAAAATGTATTCATTCAGTTAAGCATGATACTGCGTTGCTTCCATTTCATCAGATAATGCCATCTTAATTATAGTTTCTGTAGTTGTTGGGACCATCAATGACCATCAACTCTGAGGAGAATCGTGTGCTTCTAACGAAAACGGCGATCTTGTTGAACGCTGAAATATTACTTTTGCATCATAATCATGACTTGGGTTTGGGTTTTCAATGAGTTTTTCATTTGTTCAGCTTGTCTGTGATGCATATGAGATGGTTTTTTGTGTAGATTTAATTCGTATCCTTCACATCTCATGTAGTTTATAATTCACGATTAGAATTCAAATTTCAGTCGCTTGCAGTGAAAGACGAATTTTTTATGGAAATCATTTCAAACGAACAAATTTTCTACGGAGATGATTCCACATCTTGTACGAAGTGAATGTGCTAAAAAATGAACATGTTCCCTTGAATTTTTATTTTTATTCTTCCACCTTATTTTTACTGCAGCACAGGGCAGCAGTTCGCTGGTGGCTGATAAAATCTCAAGCCAGAAAGAAGCATCCTTCAGTGCCATGAACCATATGCTGCTATCACTCACTTCGTTTTTCACTTCATGTCTCTCAATGATTTGTTTTGATCGTAGGAGGACGATTGAAATATAATAACATTTTGTTAGGAGGCATAAAAATGACGAAGATGTTTCAAGATATGGTGCATATGCGGTACGGAGTGANATAAATGCTTCATTTCACCTGAACGATTTTAAGATGGTTTCATAATTTTATATTGACTCACTTCAATTTGATATTCACCGACTGAACCACATTCTGGTGGTTCCCATGAAATAGCAACACTATATTGACCGGTTTGTGTTATTTCAACGTTTCTTGGAGCAGTTAAATCATCTGAAAATTAATCGCGTTTGCATGGCGTTTTAATCATGAACAAGAGTATCCTTGGGAAATGAACTCATAATGCAAGAAGTCATTCCTTTCCGAACACAGCAATAGAATTACGATTTAGGTTACACATTCCATTCCTCATAAAAATAACGAATCGGAACTTTGTGCCGGCAGAATACTTATCAATGGCACCGTTTCTGAGAAGATGAGCATGAAAAAGACAAAAAAAAAGTAAGAAAGTTTAGTCAACCAACCTGATTCGCACTTAATGCTGACCATTTCGTTTCGAGCTCGAATTTCTGGAGTCTCAACCAGAATTTTGCCGTTTTTCCCGAGGACCTTTATCCTTACAAAATATGCGATTCCGGTTGGAAGTCGAGGAATCTGAAAAGTAAGCGAAGTGCGGGGATGAAGACATTTATGTAGATTTGTAGTGCGTTATCGCAGCAGATAATGAAGAGAATAATCAACTATGCTTTTCAATCAGTTAATTGAAAAGTTCATCACTCATAAAAATTCCTTCACATTACAGGTAGCATAAGATGCACGCTCTGTAACGGAACTTATTTTTGACTTAAAGTGATCCTGATAGCGTCGAGTATTTGAGATGATCATGATTCGTGATGTTAAGTCGAATATGAATACCTGAACTCGGTATTGAAGATTGGGACCCTTGTAGGGAATGATACCATCGTGCACATGCCACTGAGTGTCCTTTTCGGCCCGATATTCTACTGCAAATCCCCCTACTGTGTCATCCGGGTGATCGCCTGTCTGAATTCCTTCCCATTCAACTGTCAACAGGCTTTGCGATCCACCTGTATCTCGTCGTACGCGAG